AAAAAAAAAAATCTCTCTTTTTTTTTACTGCTCTCTCTCTCTCTCTCTCTCTCTCTCTCTCTCTCTCTCTCTCTCTCTCTCTCTCTCTCTCTCACACACACACACAGTGTGACGTCCCCTCTCCTCCGAACAGAAATATTTAATGAGCACTACAGCAGAATATCTAGAAAAATAATAATGTGAATACATATTCTATGTAGTTCTTAAAGAAAAATCCCAATTGAATATAATTGGTAATAGCAGGTTAGTGCTGTACCAAAACCACAGATCAATAATTAACCACGTAATTTTGATACCTTTAAACAGCAAAGTCCTAAAAAAAATAGGGAGAAGAAAGTTTAGCAAAGCAGCAACAGAGAAACGGAAAAAAAAGTAAATAAATAAAGCACTACTTGGAAAGTGCCAATTAAAAGTAAACAAAGCCACATTATCGAAGAGACAGAGTTCGCTAAGTTCAAAGAAACATGCAATATGTTTGCATGTGACCGGGTTTTCCACGCTTCACAATGGAAGCTATGGAAAATTGCTGGCTGAGCAGGAGCCCATGCCAGAGGGCAAATTATGGGAAAGGATGTGGCAAATTCTGGCTGCTCAGCAGCAGCCGATGACTGCCTCTGGAACATGAGCAGGGAGCTTTCTGCCCATGTGCAGACTCAAAATATCCAGTCATAGTTTTCAGTGGCAGTACAGCTACTGTAAAAGTGAAAAACAGAATATCGGATCCAGTTTAGTATTGCAGTACACCGGTGACGTAATGTCTGAGCGACAAAAACAACGACCCCCCCGCCACCCGGCACCGCCACACTCTTCTTCATCTTTCCTGCTCACTTTTGGCGTACCCCCTTTTTTTCTGGGACACAAAATAAAGCTCTCTGATTGGTTGGTAGCACCTTAGAGATGCTGAGAATATCCACCAACCAGGGCAAGGTGCCCCTTCACATGGTTACCACAGTAACCTCTCACAACCACAGAGAGCGTGCCCACATGTACATGAACATGGACACTTACATCCATGAGTTCAAATGTGTGCGTTGGCACTGGGAGCTTGACTTTGTGTGTGTAAGAGTCGTGAAACAGACAACAAGCTTCGAGTGAATAGCCCTTTGTGAGTTCATGAACCACAGAACATGTGAGGGCCAGACAATGCTGTTACTGTATCTCTGACAAAAAGAAACATTCTTACTCTCATGCTTTAAAAGGCTGACGGGGAAACGCTGCACTGTGAAATTTTCCCCATTGATATTTGTTTACAAAAACACGAGTGCTAAGAGACGCTAAGAGATAAAGACGGAATGGGAAATTCCAAGCATTGATGATTTATTTTTTCTACCCACAAATGTCAGTGAAGCTGCTTAGTTTGCTTATTTCCACCATAGGAAAGATTATCTAGTCATATGCTGCCAATTTGTTTCACATTACAGCCTGTTTGAAATACAATACGTACTTTGATTCATGTGTGCTGCTACTTAGAAAATCTATAAAAGGCATTTCTCTTCAGCTACATGGCTGATTAATTGCAAATGCATTTATAGTTACAATGCTTTAGCTTTTCATATAAGCCTTTAACACGGCTGATAATAATTTGAGCAAATTCAAATTCTCACTGGCAGCATAATGCATGAAGATTCGAAAACAGCATTCAAAATGTACATTTCTTTCCAACTTGTCAGTCGTTGAGCTGACTTTATGAATTGCTCCAAATGAGCAATTAATAAATTGCTCATTTGGAGAGTAGAGGAAGTATCACACCACCGTGATACTTCCTCTACTCTCTACCATTTCATACTGATTCTTATCTAGTAAATATTTCCAAAGACACATCTAAATAATTTTCCTAAACTCTAAAAATAGATGCAAAGTGGCGACTAAGTAAGCTTCGCATTACAACGGACAGGAGTTGTGTTATTGTAACAGGATGTTTGGTTATGTCACTACTGTATCCACTCCAGATCACCTGCACCTGCTTATACAGCAGCACTGAAAAGCCAATTACATCAGTGGCATTAAGCCAGGGTGCACAAGCAAAGGCAAATCCTCTCTCGGTTGCCAGGATGATAACAAGCTACCTTACCAGGATCCCATGTGCGCCGCAAGATCCCTCTGATACGTTTCAGTCCCTACTGAGGGCTAATAGCAGCACTCAGCATGTGCACCAGGAGATGGAGGACTTACCATGTCTGCATTTGATGTGGCTAAGAAAAAACATGTCATCTCTGACCATAAAAAGAAAATGGCATTCTAACAAAAGGTACGGTAATACTTATGGCCATTACCATCTAAACAAGGGCATGCTATGACATATATTCTTACCATAAACACTACAGATTTTGTTGTTTTGATCTGCTTTCACAATCACCGTGTGGTGTTGTCGTCTTTAAGGAATCCAATTTCTTACCGGTGCAGGTGAAGCACTTGACATGAAAGTGAGTGTCTTGGACGCGGACCACTTCCCCTTTGCATACTTCCCGACACCGCTGACACTGGATTGGCTCAGAGCCCCGCTCGCTGCGTGTTGAGGCTTGCCGATGAGCTGCGGAGCATAAAAACATCCTGAATGTGCCATCTGAAGGATCAAATGTAGACTGTTTGATACACTGTACTGAAAGATTTTTATGATCATAACTCAACAAATTACGCATGTCAAAAACGCGTGCGATGCTTCAAGGTGTGCACTTTTGCTGAGTTCACACCAAATGCGTTTTGATCGTCAGGCGCGTCTGTTTTACATTCAAAATGGACTGAACTTATATAGGGGCTTTTTCCAATCATTTTGACCACTCAAAGTGCTTTACACTAGAGCCACATTCTAGTGTGGCTCTAAAGAGCCACTCACAAACGCTCACACATTTATACACCGATACGCAGATTGGTAGGAAGTTTCGGGGTTAAGTGCCTTGCCCAAGGGCACGTCGACATGAGATCCAAATAGACTTTGAATGTAAACCAGAAGCACCTGACGCTCAGAACGCTGACAGTCAGAACTACAAGAGTTTACATGGAAGCACATTAGTGTGTTTGGAATGGCAGGGGAGTCCGGCTCTACATTGTATTCTAACGTCCCAAAACATTTCAAACTCGGTTATCCTTCCCCCTCCATATGTCAATCAGGTGCTATTTTTTTTTTATGTTGGCCTAACATATGGAGTTCCAATAAAACAAATAAAACTCAGTGGTTTTAATAGGTCAAATTACGAAAAGGTTCAAATAGTTTGACAATGTTAGGATCAGTACTGCCATGGCTGTGTCCAGACTGTGCATGGAGCTTCCACAATAAACTCCGTCTGCAGGCCTGTCAACACCAGTTCCAAAACTGTGAGGTCTGACAACTATACGCTGGGCTACTTCCAGGCTCTCTCTCTCCCTGCCTCTATTTTTCACACACTCATGCTTCACCACCACTTGACTGACTGCATCGATCTCCTCACCTCGTTCTGCTTCGGCTTACATGTGTGACTCCTTCGAGCCCCGACAGCTACCTCACATAGAGCCACACACACACACAAAAAAAACAGATTTCGACTAAGCAAAAGGCCGTCATAATACAAATATCAAACCACTTTTATATTAGTCTCAACAAATGTTCACAATGATGTTCGGCATTTCTTGGTTATTAGATTAGGACGGCCCGGGGATCTGAGCTATTAACATATTTCACGGCATCCAAAAAGATTACAATATTGACAATGTGTCAAAACGCCTGCCTCTTCTTTATCGTTCTTCTATACTGAGATTAATGAAACGGAGGGATGCCGGAGTAACAGGCTGGGATGGTCATCTAGGCGAAGGACTTTTTCCGCTAGAGGGGGACGAGGATGTGGGCTGACACAACAGAGTAGTGGATTGCTTGTCGAGACTTAATCCCGAAGGGCTTGCACCACTTAAAAGGTCAAAGCTGATGCACTACTTGCATTTGTTGAGTTGTATAGAAGTATCTGTGCTTAAATTTGTTTTCTACCCACGCTGCCAAATTCTATGGTTTTGATAAAGGCTGTTTCTCTCAGTGTTGTTCGACACAGTTTATAGCAACAACAATTGCAAAACATACCACATCTCCCGCAGTTGAGTCTTTGTAAGTATATATATATATATATATATATATATATATATATATATATATATAAATATATATAAATAACCTCTGCAAAGTTTGTTTGATTTTTTTTTTCCTCTGGCACCAGAAAGCAATAATAAAAAAAAAATCTTCTCAAAGTGACTTTGGAGCTTTGTAAATGATTTAAATTTCCTGTAATTTTGATGATGGTTTACAGATAATAAAAACACATAATTCAATGTCTCAAAAAAATGTTGAATATTACATGAGGTCAAGTAAAAGCATATTTTAAATAAAAATGTCAGAATGCAAAATGTATGTTGATTTGTACTTTTTTTTTGGGTCTCGTTTTGCATGAATTACTGTGTCGGTCCACCAATGCCGAGGTGTAATTGAAGTTCGTGTTGCTTTTGATTGTGGCCTTCAGGTGACTTGCATTGTTGGAAGCCTAACAATGTCTCTCGACTTCCTTTTGGACATATCCTGGTCAGCTTGACTATTTAGAAGACTAAAGGTGCAGCTTCAAATTTCTCACATAAAAAGGCAGGCTATCACATTCGGTGTCTTTATATTGCATTTTATAATCTCAACTCCGTACTTGGCATGAAAGTTGTTGGATCTAATGTTTTTTTGTTGTTTTTTTCTGTGTGGAAGGACGTAAGCACCGTGGGGGTTTTGGTGTGTAGGCTTTCAGCAGGTGACGATTAGAAAGAGAACTGACTTTGCCTTGAAATAGATTAAAATACACATAAAAACAGATGTTTTTGTACAAGCACTTATGTTGTTTTATAGAACCAGTAAGTCTGAAAAAACAGATGCAATAAATATTTTCACAGACTATGCATAAAGGCACAAATCGACATTATAGCCTTGGTTGTTTATTTTCCCAACCAAGGACAAGAGTGTGACTGCGAGAAATAAGTAACAACAATTGCAACCCATACCACATCTCCCACAGCTGACTCTCTGTAAGATCCATTGTTTCCCTCACAATGCTGCCGGGACCTCTGGGAAAAACAAACTGGCCTGATAAGTGCCAAGCCGCCCGTTCGAGTGAAAGTTTCAAGGAAGTGTTTTCTTTTGTTTTGTGAAACCAAATGCACAACCGTGATTCCATCAGGTGTGAATGTGGGATAATGTGGGCTAATGGAAGTGCAAGCCGGCCTGACATCATCCCCTGGAAAAACACGATGGCAATTATTTACCCTGCTGACCTTCTGAAACGTGACCAAAACAAACCCGTAGCACGCAGGAACATCCTCATTCTTCCCATGCCAGTCAAGTTCAGATAGAAGATGAAATAAGAGTACTCCATTTGGCGTGATTTTAGAACAACATAACAAAAATGAATGACATGAGCTGTTATTTTATTGAAAAATAAATTGACAATGACTTTGAGAAAAATATCTAGACAGTGACATTTGTGTGGATGAAAATGCCTTACTGATGTCAGAGTTCAGAAGAGAAAGTGTGGACCGGTTTGAGATGATGAAAAGGCAACTATACCCAGTAGAGGAAACTCCTCTCACAACCGAAATATGCAAAATTCAAACTCACAACACACAACACTTTGAAGCAGAATGGCTACGGCAGCAGAACATCAAAATACGCGGCTTCTATCAACTCCCTAAAATTAGACCTTTGAGGCTACGCTTAACTGGACACTTCGCCAAAACTGGTTCGATGATTCTTGATTTCAGCCTCGACATTCAGATGGTAAAGTTACAATTTGGCCAGAACCGCATTAAAATGTGCCTCCATCTGGCTTTGTTCTAATCATTTTGACTAGTCGTGTGAAGGACTTCTGGACAGACTTTCAGCCCCTTAAAACGAATGAGCATTGTTTAAATTTAAAAGCCTACTTAATTAGTTTTGAACATATTAACAAGGTGTACCTAATAAAGCGACTGTTCTTTTTTTTTTTTTTTTAAGTTAAATACGTAGGTGTAGGCCACAATTGTACACTACACAAATACTAAATTTACTTAGAATATTACCTGATCTTGATTGGTTGAACTATGATCTAAGGTAGGGAGTTCACTTTCAAGTTGATTTTTCATTAACAGGAGAGTTCAAAGTGCTTTTCATTGTAACCCAATAACCAATTATGAAACACGCAGCAAACCTTACATTTTGTAAGCAGTCAGCGACTGTATAGATACGTCACTCACGTAACTTGCACCGTTTTACTCCAGTAAAAGTAATGGAGATCTGTGGTTCAGTTTGTGTTTACCACTTGTCCCTCATTTTTATTTCTGATTCATTTAATCTTTCTAACCCATAGATGTCACTGATTGCATCACTGGGTTCTACTAAATGGAGGGTTTCCTTGTTTTCCTTGTATTGTTTGTTTATCTTTAAAGTAAGCCTTCGTTTCGCCCTGTATTACATGTTTTACTTTGCAAACCATTTAGTTACGTAGATGAGTTTGTTAATAATCTTATTCCTGTTTCTCCGTTTAGAGTTTTGCTGCTTGGTTTGACCCGTTGCCTAATGAAGTGAAGACGCATTGCCACTTTGCTTTAAGTCCAGAAAGATTTCAGATGCTTGGGATGGATGTCAAAGCCTAAAAAAAACAACAACTAAATAATAAAAATTTAGCAGTGCACAGTAAGAAATGGGGAAATGGCAGCTCAGTGTCCACTTAAACGGACTTCAAGACAGAGGAACGTTAAACCAGAACATATTTTTTTGCAGTTTTCAATCAGCCATGCGTTCTCCCAACCAGGAAGCTGTCGTGTGATTATAAAGTCCAGTATAAGTTATGATATAAAGAAGCTCAATAAGATGCTTTCTAACTCACCATGTGTCCAAGAGAAGCCAAGAACAAGGGCTCCAAGTTCACAAACGGCTCAGGAGCTGAGGTGTTGCATAACTAACCATGTCCATTAAAGACTTCTATAAAAAAAAAAAAAAATCCCTCCATCCTCTTCTATGGCGACCAGTTGAGTCACACTTCTAATGAAAACAAGCTCGACTGCAGGTGTAATCCATTGACTCCACATCGGCACAGGGTGTCCCAGGAGATTACAGCCTCCAGGATCCAAGGGATAACAGCGCTGTGTACCAGAGAGACCGGCTGCATCCCTGGGGACTGAGAGGTTGCTGCGATTTCTTCCTCTGACCCGACAGCCTGGACCAAGAACAGGCTGGGAGTTCGGTCACAATGTGGACGTCGAGTGAATGGTGGTGATGAGTTAGACGTGAGTTACAACAGAGTGGAAAAATACGTTGTTATACTTTTAAAGGAGAGGTATTATGCATTGTCCACGCTCATAGTGCAATTTTATAGCACGCTCAAGTAAACTATGCCACCTGCAGTTGGTGTAAAAATGCTGCATATATCAAATAAGAAATTTGATTTTGCAATTTGATGCTTTGAAATTGACCTCTGCCTCTTTTTTAAGAAGCTCCTCCTCTTTCTGGCATGAAGCACTGCATCACAATGCTACCTCATAATGCAGTTTCCTGTTTTTAGGAGATCTGGACTGAAGTACTTTTCACGATAAGCTCAGCAGTTTCCGCAGGTGTTTGCTAGGTGCTGCTGCTGCTAGTCTAGGGGAGCTGAGTGGGAAAGGTGCAGAGGAGGGGTGGGTGGCTGACGACTGCAGCTCCAAGGACGAGCTTCGTATCAGCAAGAGTTTCTGCAGCCCTGAATGTCTGCGACAGGAGATACAAGAAACTCTGAAGCATGAGCAGCCCTAATTAACACTGTATTGAAATGATAGCCGGCCAGCTGTGAGTAGCATGACTGCAGGCTGGTCTCTTAAGCAAATAGCCAAACTAATTCTCAATCTAATACCTGCTTTTTTTTTTTTTTTACAAAAGTAGAGCAGCTAAAAGGCTTTAGTATTTTAACTCAAATAATTAAAAGCACTAAAACACATCACAGCTTTTATGTGTTTTAGGTTTGTATGTAAAATACCTTAAAGCTCTCATTTTGTCACATAAATTCACTACATCCATAATATTCTAGTAAAAAAAATAACAACAATCAATGTCTGACAAACAGAATACTTATTTCTCTGTCAATGGAGCAATCATTTCCTCTGAAATCGTTGCCACTCTTCATAAAACATCCGAGCAGTATGCCTATCCCATCCGTCTTCCCTGTCGGTAATTTAATGTAGTCATTGATCAGGGCCCCTCTGTCTCCCTACCCTTCTCTCTCCTTATCTGTCTTCATCTCCATCAGGACCTTGTGCTGAGGCAGCCATCAGAGCGACGCTCGTGTCCAGTGGTAACACAAACATGCCAATACTCCACAGAGCAAAGGAATAAGGGTCGGACTGCTGTGCTGCCCACGGTCTCAATGGTTCCTTGGTCCTGCCAGAAGTCAAGGTCAGAGGAAGCAGGACACAGCCGTGGTCGAACATTGAACTGAATCTAGTGCCCCATCAAATCCGTTCCATAACTTTAAGAACAAACTAATTATGCTGAACCCTTTTGTTTATGTCTGACATTTCCCTCTTCTTGGTGACTTTCACTCGTGAGCAAAAGTCAAACCCCTTATGACAGCAGCTGTTAATAATCCACAAAACCATCCGCCGGATTTCGCATCGGTCGCGCGCAACTGCAAATGAATATTCAGCGTTTGCCTCCCAGCATCTGCGGCTTGCATCTGTGCAGTCGAAGCTCCCGCCTTTGTTCTCTGTGTTATTGAACCAAGGCACCTGGAATCGTGCGGTGATGAATGGTATTTGGCTCCGGTTTGGACTGTGCGCCAGATGAGGAAGCGGCTCAGCAATCATAAATGCTATAGCTCTTGCTTCCGTCTACCCCGGTTTCCAGATTATTCCCCACCGCTCAGAAACAATCCATCATTTAATATTGCAGGTCTTATGTAGGTTTACATTTGTACACCCCGTCTTGTCAGCGTGCTATTTATGTACGTCCTTGAATGATGTGCTTGGCCCACATTGTATGTGCCACACTTACAGTAATGTTTGTACAGTAGCATCTGCCTGAGGTTGGAACGATCTCCTTGTGCATGTGTGAGTTCTCTCTGGGTACTTGGTCCAGAAACATGTGTGTTGGTGTCATTTGTCTCTCTAAATTGCCCATAGTGTGTCCGTGCAGAGTTGCCTGTCCTAAACGCTTTGTTTGATAATTACGACTGTTTCGTAGCGCTGACTCATTGGTTTTTATTGATACGAAACCATGAAAACACAAAAGTGTTTTTGAAATTATAACACCTAAAACATAATCCTGAAGTTATCAAGTTGTGAAGAGCCATAAGTGAAGAGCCACCCTCTCCTGCAACTTTAAGAAGACTCGTTTGTCATTTGGCATGAGAGAAAAGTGAAATTTTGCACTGTGGAAACATTTAGATAAGTTCTGTTTGAGTCAGAGTGCTGCACATGAGAATTTTCCAGATTTGCAACACTGTTGCGCCCTTTAAAAAGTTAGTTTTGAAGATTTTTAATATCGAATGGCGGCAAGGTTTAGTTTGTGGATGACTAGATGCTAAAGTCAGACTGAGCACCACACAAAGAACACCCCGCCTTACAATATCTATTGTTTTTACAGCTGATGAGTAAATAGACATGGTATTTACTAATGAATGAATTTCCTCAAAATCAAACACGACTGATCCTTCAAGTGGTTAGTTGGGAAGTTTTAGTTATTATGCAACAGATCCCTCTAACGCAAAAAAGCAAACGCCTGTGAAGCTTTTTTTTGTTGTTGTTTTTTTTTGCCCTGACTAATGTAAGCTGCAACTGAAGCGACTCACCTCACCAAACCATAAAAGAACATGATCAAATGTTTCCTTTGGCTGTTCTGGTTTTGCAGCTTCTGTTCTGTTGTCAGGCTCCGGCAGCGACTGGATGCGTCTCCACACCCGCCCTAACCTATGCCATAACTTCCCTGTGGCCTGATGTGCACACCACAAGAAATGCGACTAAATTTAGCTCTCATGCAGGCTACAAGAAAAGTGATTGGTCCATTACTACCTTGCTCAAATATCGCACCTGTACAGAAAGTAAATAAGACATGTACTTTGCGGTGACGCGGAGCACGGGACTGTGCAGAAGTCTCAATGTAACACACTAAAAATCTCAATTACTTCTAGACATGTTCTGTCTAACATTGAAAAAATGTTGCTCTGGACATCAAACTGAGGGAGGGAGAGAAGTGTCAGAGCTGCCTGTGATGAATGGAGCTGCAAAAAAAAAAAAGCCCCTGGCTCCCTGAACTCAATGATCTGTATATTGATCTACTTGTGCTTTATCACTCCCCGGTGCAGAAACGGAGTGTGCCAAAAAGAAAGATCTTCATCTGTTGCACAGATACTTTTTTTTCCACACCGGGCCACGTGAAGTTCCTGCTGGGTGACGTAAATACGCCCTGAAGTCAGCAAACTAGGTTGTGGAGAACGTGCGGTTGCTCCCAGTGCGTGATCGCACCCGGTGGAACAGAAAACAGTGCACCCAGCGCACCCCAACAGGCCCTGTCATGTCCAAACCTCAGAAGCAGTGGTGGCAGACAGCAACATATGTTTGACTGACACCAAAGGGAGAACAGTGGGAAAAAAAAAGAAAAAAGTTCTTTCTGCAGGTCAGAAGCTTTAAGCCGGGGGAACAGACACATGTTCCACCAACTCTCTGCCAGCTGTGACAATGCATGCTGGGCAATCTTGTGTGCAAAACACAAGGACTCGTGTGACAGCTCCCCACATGTTGGCTGGAGGTGCTCCTCCTCCTTCTCTATTTGTCACGTGAGGAAGAAGAAAAAAACAAAAAACAACAACACTCAGAGCTCTTAACAAAAGAATTATTCTCATTTTCTCAAGAGAGTGAGAAGAAGCAACACCCTTCCTGGGAATCGAGGCAACGTTCCCTGCAAGTCAGGCAAGGCTCAGCTGAGTTCAGAGCGCCAGATAAATAATGTAGTGCCACAGAATGACAAGCTAGATTATGAATGATGCAGTGAGAGACCAGGGGCTGGACAGGAAGCTCCTGACACCATCAGTTCTCTGAGCACCTGGAGCACATTCACCTCTCCCAAGCCCGCACAATGAAACGCTCGCCCGCCTCACCCGCGCGTCGACTCACGGCGAATTGTGTACAGACCAAAAATGGAAGCGTGCAGAAAACGTGTGCACACGCTCACCACAAGCTATACAGAGAAAGCCCTGATTCAGCGGACAGAGGATCAGGATCAGAGTCAGCTGATCCAAGGTCATCTCGGCATCAGAGCTGCCCCTGGGGCCATTCTAGGGTAAGGATGTCAGTGGCCCCCTGAGGTTGTAAGGGTTATTTGTCACATGCTACAGTACACACAGATATACAGGGAGGTCGGGTCAGCGAACCCCCCCCCCCACCCTCCTCACCCCCTACAAGTTACAAGGTGTGCTGATCCTGCAGGGACAGTGTGAAAGAGCTGAAAGTGGTCTCCCAGAAGGAGGTGAAAGAGAGGTGGCAGACACTGAAAGCGTCCAAGCTGCTGCTGTGCAGTGAAGAAGTGGAGAAATGCTTCTGGGTGAACTCTGACCCCTGGATGTATTTAAAGTCCCGTGTTTAACCTTTTCCGAGTTAGATGCATAATCACACCTTTCTTTTTTCTTCTGTGTAAATGTTTGCAAAATAAACTATTTTATATAGTCGGTAAATAATAGAAATGCTACATTTTGTGATGAAAAAAAAATATGCTAATTATCTATATCATCCACTAAATACAAAATAACATACATGGTTCCTATAGGATTTATTTATTTATTTATTTATTTATTTATTTATTTATTTATTTATTTTTTATCATTGTTTACATTGTCTTTGCACTCCAAGCGGAGAGATGAGGCGCGCGAGAATGGACTTACCACTGGAACTCATGATGCCCAATGCGTCCTTCTCCAAAACAAAGCTGCTTCGGCCAAAAATAATCCCATAAAGCACGAGGAGATATTCACATTGTGCACTTAATAAAACAATATCCTGCAATCGCTGGTTGTGATCCTCCTCACTGTCGGCACCGCTCCTTCCTTCCAGTCAAATGCATGTGAAGGTGTAGACGGTGGCAGAAAGAGGGACGCGCAAATATAAACAAAGAATTCTTAGCGAGGATTATTGCCGTAATCAGCTGTAGGATCCAAATAAAGCTTCCGCTCCTGCTGTGCCAAGGTCTCCTGTGTGTGTGTGTGTGTGTTTTTTTTTTTTTTTTTTTAAATAATAATTATTATTTTCTCTCCAGTCAGACAGATTCTACAGACCAGAAAACGACGCTGCTCACTTGGATTCCACCTTCACATTTTTACTCTCGCCAGATACAGCCCCCTCCCTCCCTACTCCTCCTCCAGCTCCGCCGCGCTCCTCCGGCGTGTCCCCGTGCGTGCGCCTCTCAAGCGCCGTCAATACTGGGTCCGGATCCTTTCAAAATAAAGGCGTAGTCGCTTAAGATTGGGTGTGATTGACAGACAGGCAGACAAAGAGAGAGAGAGAGAGAGAGAGAGAGAGAGAGAGAGGGGGGGGGTTGTAAGAGAGAGTCAACTAAACAGATATCTATCTATCTATCTATCTATCTATCTATCTATCTATCTATCTATCTATCTATATTTGGAGATTTTTGTTTTATTTTATCTTAATCGGTCCTGTACAATTTAAATTGAGAGGTTGTGTTTTCTAGCTTTTAGAGCAATCGTTTATTCATTCATCAGCTTTATTAAAGACACAAATAGGGCCACATGAGGAAAAAAAAAATAAAATAAAATAATGATAAGAATTTAAAAAATAAAAGTGCAATGTGATAAACTTTCCGGGGCCTAATCAGAATTGTCTCGAACACCCCATTTAAGCTTTGTGGAACTTTTATTCTTCGCTCACAATTCAGTGACAAAAAGGAAAATGAAAATAAAGTAAACTGTGACTTTATTGTGAAAAGAACCCCACTCTTCCGGGTTTTACTCCGACTCTGACGTTGGTTTACTATTCTCACTTTCATCCTCGCTCATATAGCGACGTCACTCTTTGCTTTTAAAAAGGAAAACGAAAAATAATGTCCTAAAAGTCACGATAAGAAGTGTTAGATTATCAATCGTCTGACTTGGACTGATGATGGCAGAGCTATTATCAGTGTCAGCTGAAATTTAATCAGTTTAGTCAGTGTAATACAAATCGCTTTTCAAAGATCAAAATTACGACAATGATCTGTGAGGAAAATGACAAATTGATAGAGGAAGAGATATTTATTTTTCATTTCAATTTTTTTTATAGCTTCATGTTTCCATTGTGTTCGGCAGAGTTTCCTGTTAAAACTGTTATGACACCGCCCTCTTCTGGAAAACAGACGTAAGCAAATTGGTTAATTGGATTGTTTACGGATGAAGTCCTGCTAAAGAAAGGTTAGATGGGCTGAAACCGTCCTCTGAAGTTACGGCACACATCACAACAATATACAGTAAGTCTGACTTAAAGCTGGTTTTGTTTATTAGTTTTTATTTTTATATTCAAATTTAAATCTAAAATGGTGCAACTCAGTTTTTGTAAAATACTTCATTTAATGCCAGAAACACTTTTGAAGGATACGAATTAGCAATTTACTGGCATTGGAAAGCTAAAGCAAAACTCTGGAGACAATGTGCTCTTGTAATTTGTCTATTCCTTTTCTAGTCTGTGGCATTTGATGACTAAAAGCAGAAGTGTTATCCACTTGTAGCTTTTCCTTCTGTTTACTTAAATGGGTTCATGGGTATTGATGCGTAAAGATCTGCATCTAACAGTGCAACACCCATCCGCTGTTGGTACCTCAGCCTTCAAACTGGAAGCCGGTTTAATGCAACATCAACTCTGAGAAATTAAACAGCCCTGAGATGGATTGACGAAGGGAAATGCAGATGAATAAACATGAAGTTAACAGCTAATTCTTTTTAAAGAACAGCGCCAGTCAGAAGTATTTATTTTATTTAAAAGTGTTCGGATCTTGTCTCTTTACTAGCCCAAACATGTTGGTAATAATACACTGTTTTAATCAGGATTAAATGTGACAGACAAACACTAAGCAGTGAATAATAGAGGAGAAGAAAGATATCATGTAGCTTCAAAGTTACCATGTGGAAGTCTGTCAATAAATAAACATTTAACAAATCTACCCTTTATAAAAATTGCACTTGGAAAGTCACAAGGAAAAGTTTATCTCAGACCATTTAGGGGACATAGGAAACAATTGGAATAATGTCATATCATGACATGACAACAAAATGTAAATTTGTGGCCTGCGTGCAACTAACACTAAACACCGACCTGAACACATTGTTCCTACTGACGTAGGGAGGTGGTAGCATCATGCTGTGTAATGTGTTGCTTCATCAGCGACAAATAGTCAGAATTTATTGAAGGATGACTGGAATTACAGGGCAATATTTGAAGAGAACCAGTCAGAGGAAGCAAAATCAGAAGTTCACCTTCTGGAAGGATGTCAAGCGTGAACCTCAGTTACAATTTAATGGTTAATAACAAAGTGTTTTCCTTTTTTCTAAGAGTGACCAAGTCAAAGTTTAAAATCAAGTGCAACTTACAGCGTCCGGCGTAACAATTTTGGCAAATTGCTGGTCACAATGCCATCCTACCTGATCTCCCAGCCTGTGCTATGAAACCTTTGCAGATTGTTAAGAATGAGGCAGTGCCTTTGTTCTTCAATATGCTTAACAGAGCAAACGTCACCCCTGTGTCGATTGAACTTCACTGGACATCCTTAGTGGTCTGCGTCCAATCAACTCAATATTAGTCAACAAAGTGCTTAACATCTCGCCCCGACCTGGATGTTCTCACTCCAGTCGTCAGTGGATTGTCAGCTAGCAGTGTCTACGTCATGCTAACTGCAGTCCAGACTCTTTGTATGTGTAGAATGACCTACCAAAACAAGAAACTGGTGAAGACCCAGCTCATCAGAGATCATCTCTGCTCACACTCCTACACTGTGCTTCCCTACCATGAATCTCTTAATGCACTCTGTGCCTGGACTCTGTGACCTCTGAAGACGAGTCGTCTTCCTTCTAAGTTGTAGTAGCTTTGATGTTGACTGCATTATTACACCTTCAGCCGTAATTCACCTTTGTATCCGTCTGCCACATGTAAAAAGATGAACACGTGCTAAATGACGAACGTGTTCCAGCTTTTTTTTTTTTTTTCAGTTTTACTTAATCTAAATTAGGCCAGTGTTGTTTTTTATATAAAAGAGCCAAGTTGCTCTCTCTCCATGTCCTGAGGAAGCCCTCATTCCGAAGCTTTTCGGAAACTGGACAATGGCGGGATATGAGAGGCGCAGCGTTCTCCCTCAGCTGCAGTCTTACCTTCTCAGGATCTGGACTCAGAAGCTCCATAAGTCCTCTTTCTTATCCTCGTAACCCTTTTTTTTTTATTCTAATGCAAAGTTTGTTGGCTACTTTCTCAAGTGTAAAGTTGCACATGCTTGCTCCTGGATACTTGTTTTTAAAGGTAACCTTGATTGTTTGCTGGTTTGGCATTGGTCAGGGATTGTAATGCTTGTCATTGGTAATGAATGACTCAAATGAGGTTTAGCTGAATGTATGCATGAGTGATACTCATTGTTTGGCAGTCCCTGAAATAGTTAGTTTGTAATTGTGCTCCTGTGTCAATCCCTCATTGTGCTTTTGTCCACCAAACTGATGCGGCAGCAAAACAGGAAGCTAGCCTTCCTGTTCACGGGAGGCAGAAGGGCAAGAGGCCATCATGTCAACACAACATTGTCACTGTCTGCAAAGGCGCCAGTCGTCCATAGCTGACAAAAAAAAACAAAAAACAAAAAAAACAACACATTTTGGGATGCTGTCTTACTGCTAGTCCACGAGTTTGCCAAGTGATATAAAACCGGCACAATCAGCAGAAACTGTGCTACTGATCGCATGACAGAGCCACGATCGTGTTTCTGCGGCTCTCCTCCTAATCTATTGCTCCATTGTTTTAACCCAGTCACTCGCCCGCTGTTTTTCTTTTGGAGGTAATGTTCTTTTTGTTTGTGAGTCACACCGAGGCCATGTGTCCACTATCAGTGGGCCTGATCAGCAACATTCTTCATCAAGTCTCACAATCCCTGCGTTTTGTTCATCCACAGAGGAACGTAAATGCAACCATGCACACAAACACACACACACACACACACAAATACAATTCCCAGTGTAATGTTACACTACAATCTCCACCCATTTTTATTGCAATTCTATTGCTATTAAATACTTGCATATCTGTCTTTCTCACCACACATAGTGTGTCTTCCTATCTTCACAAGGACTTTACATTGACCTAAAACTTAACTATTACTAGTACATGCCTAACCCCAAACCTAAAATCAATTCATACCTTAGTACTAAACCTAACCCAAAACAAGTTTTTATTCTCATGGGGTCTGGGCTTTGGGCCCCATAAGGAGCAGTCAGTCCCCACAATGTAGAATTTGTGTGGAAAATGATCTTTATACTGTATCAAAAACAAGGCCACACACACACGCACACACACACGCACACGCACACACCTACGCACATGCACACGCACGCACATGCACACGCACACGCACCCCACTCCCCCTACACACACAGAAAGAGAGAGAGAATAAATGATCCATGTCCTGCAGCCTTGCATAGCCAATTGCATGATCACATGGGGAGTTCATTGCTGATGTATTCAGAGTGACTTTGTTCCAACATGCTGGATTCTGGAGGGACATGCGCTGGAAAAAGGAATATATATTGAAAGTGTCCAGCAGAGAGCAGCAAGGCTGGTGTGTTGGTATGGGTTGTGTTTTGAATGAATTTATACAAACTGTAAAAGTCAAGAATGGTCATTAGACTTTTGGTTAGTATTAAAGTTTTTGTCCTGAAGCAAAAATTCAGCTTTGACTAGTTTAGGAGCTGAAGATAAAAACTATATGGGCAAGCTAAGCTAGGCTTCCCCCTGAGGCAGCTAATGAACTCCATGCCTTTGCTGTTGCTGTCACTGAAGTTTATTCAGGTTCTGTCTGGGAACATTCATTAAAATCTTTGATGAAATGTGCACACATTCTTCAACAGTTTATTTTATGAGTACAGTCAGTTCCAGAGTTTAACAAAGCATCTTAAATGAAAAGGAAAAAGAAAAAAAAAAAAACCCAAAGCAAATCCAGCCTGGGGATAATTACCCTGCCTTCATGGAGAACGATAGTTATAATATGAAGTTGGCAACAGGAGGTAGCTGCTGTTTTTATTCCCTCAGCACTTTTTTCTACAGCCATGCAAGCTAATTATAGCACATTTCTTGGCATCAAAGTAAAATTAGTGGAATGCCACCTGTAGGTGTGTGTGTGTGTTTGTGTGTGTGTGTAGCCTGACAGAC